TATTTGTCCTCTCTCCTCCAGGCCAGCACGGGCTGCCCCTTCTAACCCCTGGTTATCCGATGTTCTTCGTGAGCATCGGACCAAACTCAGGGCAGCAGAGAGAAAATGGTGCAAATCAAAAGATCCGTCAGACCTGAGTATGTATCAGTCTTTGCTTTCATCTTTCTCTGCTGAAGTCCATACTGCCAAATCTTCATACTTCCACAACAAGATCAACAGCACTCCAGACACACATAATCTCTTCAAAACTTTCAATTCTCTCCTCTGTCCCCCTCCACCACCTCCTAACACTTCTATAACAGCTAATGATTTCGCCACATTCTTCACAGACAAAACCAGGACCATCAGTAGTCAATTCTCAGCCCCACACACACAGGACTTCAAACCAACCACACCCACTGCAAAAACTCCCATCTTCTCCTTCTGTCCCCTCACTGAGGCAGAAGTATCAAAACTTCTCCTCTCCAGCCATCCTACAACATGCCCTCTGGACCCAATCCCCTCACACCTCCTCCAAGCAATCTCTCCTACACTTTTACCAGCACTCACACACATCATCAATACATCTCTCCTCACAGGCACCTTCCCCACTGCATTCAAGCAGGCTCGGATAACCCCACTGCTCAAAAATGTGTTATTAGGACTGAGAATCGGTCAAGAGTTTTAAGCTATATTGAAAATAAAAGATTTAAGCCTTGCTTATTGCATTTAAACACAAAATGTGATTGAATTGAAAGTTATTGGACTAGTGGCATTTTTGAGATTACAGAACATTTAAGTTGGAATCAGCAAGATTTTTTTTTCTTGAAAAAAATTAATACTTTTATTCAGCGAGGATGCATTAAATTTATCAAAAGTGACAGTAAAAAAAAAAAAAAAAAAAAACTTCTATCTCTTTATCTATTCCCTCTCTTTCTAGCGTGTACTTATTTGAACAATGTCTAAAAACTTGGTATTACAAGCACTTCCTGTATCTGTTTGCCTCTTTTAAGAGGAATCGCTTTATGTATCCCCCAATTGTAAGTCTGCTAAATGTCTAAATGTAAATGTAAATGTCCCTGGTTTGTCCAGATGTTGGAGAATATAGTGCCGTCCCGTGTTGACTGCATCATCCACAGACCTGTTTGCTCAGTAAGCAAACTGCAGGGGGTCCAGCAAGGGTCCAGTAATGTCCTTCAAGTAGGCCAACACCAGTCTCTCAAATGACTTAATGACCACAGATGTTAAAGCGACAGGTCTGTAGTCATTCAGTCCTGTGATTTTTGGTTTCTTGGGTACAGGGATGATAGTG